CATATGTGTCAAATTATCGATCAACTAATCCATCGTGGGGGTGACATGGAACAAAATCCAAATTAAATAGCAAACTAGCAATATGCCAATATCAATCCACCATTGGCTGGTGGATCTGATCAGATGAGTCAGTGTCCCCAAACCCCAGTAGAACTGTTGAGTTATTGCCTTTTGAAAACAGAGTGGGCCTGACTAACAATCAGTATGTGTGTTGGATTGCTACATAAATGAGAAAATGTTTTGATGTTTTGAGATCTACAACTTGCCAAATAAATAATTCTACCATGTTCATATTATTAATTTTTAAATAACAAATCTAGGTTATTAAAATTTTAAATAAAAAGTTCCACAAGAAGACCCTAGAACCAATAAGGTCAAAACTGGCCTTGGATCCAACCTGTGGAGGGTAAGTTTTAGTTCTAAAATCCTAGAAGGGCTGGTTCTAGGTTTTGCTTTGGAACCAAATTGAATTATCACTCCCCTAATTCTGGGCATTAAATTTAAAATATAAGATAAATGATCTATAAATAATTTCTTTATTAGACTTAATGAAATCTAACAAGTTTTTGCGAAGGACCATATATTAAAAGATGGATTGGTTGACTTTTAGGCTGTGTTTGGTAGAGGTGTAAAATCGAACCAAGGTAAATATGTAATTTTACACCGCTGAATTACATCGATAATCGATGTAATAAATACATTGAAATTTTTGATGTATTTATTACATCTCTCTCTCTTCTCCTTCTCCTTCTCTCTTGTTTGCTTGTTCACTCGCTCTCTGTCTCTCTCTCTTCTCCTCCTCTCTCGCTCGCTCGCGCTCTCTCTCTCTCGCTTCTCCTTCTCTTCTTCTTCTTCTTCCTTTCTTTTTTTCTCTTTCCGTCACTGCCGCGACAAATCTAAACCCACCTACGTTCTCCATGGAAACCAACTTTCTGGTGAAGGAGACAGCGCCACCACGTCCGCGACCGCAGAGGAACTCAAGACTGATTTCTGGCAGTTGCAACCGTGCCAAATCGTTGGAGATCCTCGCAAGATGACCATGGAAGGAATCTTGTTTGGGAACAGAGGCAGAACCTCTGCTTGCTATCTCTTGAGAACGAAGGAGTTGTTTCTATGGCCTCCTTCGCTTGAGAACAGAGGCAGAACCCTCCAATCGATTCCTCTGCCCTCCAAACTTATTCAATGCCTGCATCGCCTCTCCTTCGCTCCATGGAGGGCGAAGGCAGTTCCATGGGAATAGAGGTAGAAACTTCATCACCAACTCCGGCAACCATCACTGGCTCAGTAGAAACAGTTCCACGAGAACCACAATTTCCTCTTCTATTACCTCTTATGCATCAAAATATCCAAATTCTTGTAAAACCAATTATATTATTTCAATAATGTGTTACACTAAAGAATAAGATAGAGTTATTATTGCAACTTCCCATTCACATCCTTTTTCTTACTACACCTTCGAGGATTCACATAAATAAACATATAGTGTTTTATGACAAATACTTAGACTCCCTTGTATTTTGATTACTGATGGAAAACATTGACACAATGCTTTTAAGTTTTTAAATCTCATTTTTTACTATGAAAATATTTATTAGGAATTTAGGATTAAAGCTTATTGACTTATCCACAAAAAGATGATTCATTTATTTAAATGGGTTTTGTTATTAACTATCGCAGCAAGCGAACAACAAAGGTCAAGTTAGGGTTGAATTGTTTTCTAAAAGTTACAGTGCTCCCTGTGTACTTTCGTAATGATGACATAATAATAATTTTAACATCTCCATCAACTCCATAATGATTAATTAATGAAAGGGGTGATTTTCCACATTTATTTGAAACATGAAGAGAGACTTTAGCAAAGGTAAAGGAAATAGGGTGCAAGTTGGGCGGATTGGGCCGGGGTTATGATCAATTCGGGCCCAGCCGTAAAATTTGGATTTAAAGTCTGAGTTCGAGGTCAAGCCCAATTTTTTCAACCTGAGTTGAGCCTGAACTGTAATTTGATGAATTCGGATTGAGTTCGGGTTGGTCAATAAATTAACTCTAAAATTATACATATATGTATTTACACAAATTTGTATACATATATTTATGTATATATGTATGTAAATTGGTAAATATGTACACACATGTATATATATATATATAAGCATGTATGCAAAATTAATGTATATATATATATCTATACATCATACATACATACATACATACATATGTGTATAGTTGGGCCGGAGGCTCGCTCGAAAAATAGAAAAGCCTGATTTCTTTGGCCTAAGCCCAGCCTGAGGACCAAAAATCTAAGCCGGCCAGTAAAAAATTTCGGGCTGGGCAGGTTCGTGCTCGGATTGGGCCCACCCAAGTTGCACCCCTAAAAGGAAAGGGTCTTATAAAAAAAAAGTAAAGGAGAGGAATTTTTTGGTGAAAACAAAATACAGGGGAGGTTGATGCATTTGCTAGAAAACATAGGGCAATAGGGTGACTAGATAATAAGTCCATGCCAACCTTTGATTTTTTTTTTTTTTGGCAATACCTATCATGCCGGATAAGCATGATATTGGAATAACTTTAACTGATTAGAACTCCCATAAATTTTGATAAATAGTAGTTGATTTGTTGCCACTTTTCTAATACATGTTGAGTAGTTAGATGTTTTTTAGGTACCATAGCTTTTTTGCGTCATATATATTACCTTTTAATTAAGGGTAATAGATAATAGACTTAAATTATCCCTAAGTTTTAGAAAATTGACTATGCCAACCCATTATCTACAAAATTCTTTAAAGTATCTCTAAATTTTCTAACAATTATCAAGTGCCATGATAGAAAAAGGAAATGTCTAATTTACCCTTCATTCTTCTTTAAAATTTCAAAATGGTATTTATAATCTACAATGACATTTTCCCTCACCACCTACCTCACTCATTTCAAAGGCTTGTCCATTCAAAAAACTCATATTTCAATGACGCGAATATGGACTTAACGACAAATGATTTGTGCTGGTCAGTTGCTGCAAATAAAGAGATTTGGTGCTGTGAAAAATTTGTGTTGACCTCAATGAGTTTTGATCACTATTAATGGTGGTACAATATTGTAGGAATGTAAACCAACTCCAATTTATAAAGCAATCTTACCACAATATATGTAGGCTACAAAAAGAAATTTTAAATGATTAAGCAAGAAGACATTTTGAACAAAAGTTCATCTCAAGTTTGTTTAAAACCTTATATTTTGTATTATTTTGTAGGGCTATTCACGGGTCGGGTTGAGTCGGTTTATTGAGATTTTTCCAACCGACCTGACCTGGTTGGGTTACCTAAAATTGAAACCGAAACTGACCCGACCTGGTTGGGTTACCTAAAATTGAAACCGAAACCGACCCTGTGTTAAGTAAAACCAACCTGTTCGGTTTGAATCGGGTTGGGTCGGTTTCGGCTCTAAGTTCAACCATGTTTGAGAGTCAATTTGTATTAGAGATTGTGCTTGAGTTGAGGGGATAAGGGGGCGGACTAAGTTAGAATAGAAGTTATCAAGAAAATAGAAAGTCAAACTGTATTAGAGAAAGAAGACTGAAATTTAGAATAGAAGTTATCAAGAAAATAGAAAGTCAAACTGTATTAGAGAAAGAAGACTGAAATTTGTATATTTCAAGAAACCTTCTAATCTAAGTAAAAAATGAACACCTAATTATAATTGTAATTGGTTGCCTATTTGATGTAAAAGACCATAGAAACTAGGATCATTTGATTATTTTCTTTAAACTTTTCCAAAAAAATTCCTTGTCTAGTTGTCTTACAATACTTGCCATTATTGTCATTCCTAACTAGAAGACTAAAAATTAAGTTAGGTTGTAAATAGGATAGAGACGACTTAGTTAAGTAGGAACTAAGTAGGCTGTAACTACTAACAACTAAGTTGGTTCGGTTCAGGTCGGTTTCATTTTTCACACATGAAAATCGAAACCGACCCGAACCATCAGTTTATAATTTTTTACAACCTGAAACTAACCAGTATTGAAGAAAACCCGGCCGACTCAAGTTGGGCCGGTCTGGGTTGGTCAGGTTGGGTGTTCTTATGAACGACCCTATTATTTTGTATGTATTTATACTGTATATATTTGTACTTGTACTCTTTCCAAACTGAGCCTTAATTACAAAACTGAGGGAAAATGAGAGAGAGAGAGAGAGAGAGAGAGAGAGAGAGAGAGAGAGAGATTAAAAGGAACAACTGTGGTTTTGGATTTTCGTAGGCCATTGTCTCTTCAACAAGACATAACTAATTGGGTTTGGTTTGGAAATTGGGTTTCTATACGTAGAGAGACAAATTTTATTTGCAATTCAGGCTTAGTTTGAAAGGAGTACAAATACAAATATGTAGAGCGCAAAACCTTATATTTTGTATTATTTTATATGTATTTACACTATATATATTTGTATTCATTCTTTTACCAAACTGAGCCTAAGTTTAGGACTTGGGTTTTTCTTGTGAGAGCCAAATATTCATAGAGAAAGAGCTTCTAAGGTTTCAGTGGAAAGAGATGGTGAAGAAAAAAGGGGCAAAATGGGGCTTTTAAGATATTAACGGTCATGTGTGTGAACAGAATGGGATGACTAATGGTAGGGTAGATTTAGTCAATTGTTATAAAATTCAGGAATACTTTAACGTATTTTACCAAAAATAGGGGTAGAATTAGTAAATTTTCTACAACTTAGGGGTGATTTAAAACTTTAAATATTTTACCCTTTAATTAATGGTTAATCTTACAATTTTTTTTTTTTAGAGAAGAATCTCAACTTTTTCTCTCTTCCAACAAAATTGTTCTCTCTCTTCTGTTCTTCATCCGATCAGAAAGCAAGGTAAGAACAATACAGGATTTTCTTCCATTTTCATCATTATTGAAACTCGTTCATTTGTTATAATATATATATTTTTTTACACGGGAGTCATCTTATTATTTCGATACATTTTTCTCTTACTTTTTAGAATTTCCTCGTCCATAATTTCAATTATCCGTATCGTCTTAAGAACAAGGTTGACGTGTTTTACCCTGGTCTGGGTGTATTTTCCTTGTTTGCTGATAGGAGGGTTTGGGCCTTTTGGGTTCATTTTTTTTTTCCTTACTGGTTCATTAGGTTTTTAGGATCTGACTCATCTGGTTGTTGTTTTAATTTGCGTCGGTTTTCCTCGTTCTTGTTCCTTGGGTGGCTTTGTTGGAAATAGTTTGATGTTGCACTGATAGGATTGGCAGTAGATTAATCAGGAACTTCAATTAAATGGCTCGTTTGGTTCTGCCGTACAAAGGCTCGAGCTTTGCAAAGATGGGCCTATTCGGCTTAATCACCTCATATCCTGTGATTCTCCAAACCTCATTTGCCCATTTTTTGGTGACAACTTGTTTATGGGTTCATCCTCATTGTCAGCTTATTTCTTTTGCCATCTTCTACTATTAAGATGATGCGTATTTGCTTGTTTGGTTGTTAAGAACTAATATCGTTGCCTAGTTTTCTTCTTCTTTTGGTGATTACTTATAACACTTACACATGCCACGTAAAATGAAATGATTTTCATTTCAGTTCAAGGAACTTGAACTCACAATGCCATCATTCATATGGTGGTCTTTATAGGTTACAAGGAAACACAGATTTGTTTATTTATTGAGGTCCTCAATTCACCTTATTTTTTATCTTTCGGTTGGTAACTGGAAGTACCTGCATTATAGATAACTAGCTTGTGCCTCTTAGATGCAATAAAGGGTCAGAATTAGTTCCTTTGATTCCATATAGCATCCAAACATGCTTTCAGTGTTTGTTGATTTTTGATCTATTTTTTTATTACTTTGCTTACATTTTAGTCATGATTGCCTCAAACATTCTTATCATTGCTACTTTCCTGAAAATTTACAAATGTCAACCCTTTCTTTTTGGTTTGAAATGAGTCGAGGGATCATATCACTTCTTAATACATCTATCTCCTGCTCATATTTTAAGTGTTGGAAACACTGGTTCCCCTTAAATACATGCATCATTCATGTAAAATAATCCTGGGAATTGATTGTACTTTATTCACATTTGTAATGATTTGAGTTCCTTATTGCAGATTAAGGCCACTTGCCATGCTAGTTCTTTTCAGCTGCCAGTGAAGAATTTCTCTAGAGCCAGGCAATATTTTAGACCAGAGGTTAGCGACTAATTCTGCATTGGATTGCTAGAATGCAATTATGATTTGCATCTTGTCCAATAAGTGTACTTCTGAATTACAAAATTTGTTATTTGGTTCTCATCTTATTATTATTTTTTTGCTTGTAGGTTTCTCATCGGAGAAATAGACCTTCATTTCTTTCATCAGCTGTAAGTTTTGGTTTTGAGATCTTTTTGTTCTTAGACAAATTGATTCATAAATGATATTTGTCATCATCAGTTGATTGGACTTGCTGAGGAAGTAGGACATTGCAGATGCCCCTCCAGTAAATAAAGATGTTTCTAATAAGTAGAGTACTAATTATTTAAATAAACCACAATATCATGAAACTGCCGTTATTGTACTTCTCATATATATTGAATTTATTCCTCTTTGTGGTTAACATTATTGAATGTGTGAATGCCTCAACTTTGTTCCAGAGTACTAAGCAAGCCGGCAGAAGGCTGATTTGTTCAGTTGCAACAGAAACACCACCAAACCAGGCTGAGGAGTCCAAAATGGATACACCAAAAGAGATATTTCTGAAAGATTACAAGTTGCCCGATTACTATTTTCAGACAGTATGTAGGCTGTTTGGAGTTTTGTTAACATATTATTTAGATATTTCTACTTGTCTCTGCATGTCAGTTGTTGCATTCCCTCCTAGATTATGTACTTCATGGAGGCATTTTTTTGATCAGCAAGAAAAGATATATTAATAAGTGAAAGAAAAGATACAAGAACTTCTTGATCTGCATCCTGTTCTAGTTACTCCTGCCCAAGTTCTATCATTAGATTGATCTTTCATATTTGCTTTGTAACTCAGGTAAAATTGAACTTTTCTCTGGGAGAGGAAAAAACAATTGTCTGTTCAGAAATAACTGTTTTCCCCAGGGAGGAAGGTAATTTGCAATAAATTTTTTTTTTCAAGTTTCATGATATTCTATTGCATCATCTATACAGGAGACCTTTTCACCCTTCAGAATAGGTTTTGGTTGCTAAACATGGAAATTAATTTGGCTTTCTTCAGATAAATGGTCAAAATCTTGTAAGTAAGATTCTGTGATGGATTGAAAAAAATCTCAATCATACATCTAGCATAAGTATGTAACTAATGTGAACAATCTAAACAGTGAGCAAAATACCCCTAAAACAAGATATTCCCATCAATGCACCTGTACTTGTCTGTAGACGTAGCTTGCTCAAATCATGTTTGAATTGTGCAACTTGATCTCATTAGATAGATAACCTAACATTCTTTCAAATGTGTGCTGAGATCAATGCATTTAGAGATGTGACTCATGGATCATGAGACTTGATGCCCTGCTTTGTAGCCTATCATATGCCATGTGTTCATTACCTATTTTCTTCTGCATCTTTGATGCTTTTCATCCCTAAAACACATAGAAATGGTTCTTCTTTTCTATTCTTTGCTTTTTTCAATTCATTTGTTTTCTGCAGCAGGTATTGCATCTCCATTAGTCTTGGATGGGCAAGATTTAAAGCTACTATCAATTAAAGTTAATGGAAAGGAATTGAAGGTATGCAATTATTCATATTATCCTTCCTAGTGATTGACATTATTTTCAATTTTTTTTGGAAGTTTAATGTTAAAAAAGCTCTTCCATATTTTGATTTTTTATATTGATGTTTCTTTTACTTTACTCTTGATTCTGAAACCTTATGGCTTGTTATATCATGATACCAGGACAATGTCAATATATACATTATTAGGGAATGCTCTCAAACAAATATTTATCCCCCCCAAAACACAATATCAAATATTACTTAAGGGTTGTGATGACAACAGGTTATAGTCAATTTCACCCTGATCCTGCTCAATTTATTCCCAACCCCAACCTTACCCAGTCTGCCCCAGGAGGGAGGTGGGCCTGGTGGGGGTGGGGAATAGTGAGATGGGGCAGGTAGTTAGAGGAGAAATGGTCTTTTATCTTGTAATTTGTTTGAATACGGAGCTTTGCTAGGCTTCAAAAAAAAGGAGCTTTGCTAACTTATTTTATGTTATTTGTCATAATTATTTTGTTTATTTGTTTATTCTTTGTAGGTAGAAGAATATCATTTGGACTCACGCCACCTGACACTCCTGTCACTGCCAAGGAGCACCAAATTCACTTTGGAAATTGTTACTGAGATATATCCACAGAATAATACATCTTTAGAGGTGAATGTTTATTAGTATCTGTGGGTTTCTATACTGCTTATGTCTATTATTAGTCCTCATATAATAGTTCTTCCTTTTCTGCAGGGGCTTTACAAGTCCTCTGGAAACTTCTGCACACAATGTGAAGCAGAAGGCTTTCGGAAAATTACATTTTATCAGGTCAGTTCAGTAACAAAGAATTGGTTATATGGATTTTTATTGAACATTATTTTTTAGAGAATTTCCTTTAATGGATGCTTTTGTGCTATTAGGATCGTCCTGATATCATGGCAATATACACATGCCGTATTGAAGCTGATAAAACACTGTATCCTGTACTGTTATCCAATGGGAATCTTATAGAGAAAGGAGACCTTGAGGTGATGCTTGTTTTATTGCAGCAATTAGTGAATTCAGTTTTCATGCTACTGTCTCCTGGTGGTTATAATTTCATGCCATTGCAGGGTGGGAGACATTATGCTGTTTGGGAGGATCCTTTCAAGAAGCCATGCTATTTGTTTGCCTTGGTTGCTGGACAGTTGGAAAGTAGAGATGACACATTTATTACTCGCTCAGGGCGGAAGGTGTCCTTAAGGATCTGGACCCCTGCACAGGATCTGGCAAAGACAGCTCATGCCATGTATTCACTCAAGGCTGCCATGAAATGGGATGAGGATGTCAGTTTCCATCTTCTATCTTGTTTTTGTCTGCAATTTCCTAGGGAACTAGTTGAATGAGAGTCTTAAACAATACTATGATGTTTCCTTTTATTCTTCTTTACTTGGGAACAGGTTTTTGGTCTTGAGTATGACCTGGATCTCTTCAATATTGTGGCTGTTCCAGATTTCAACATGTAAGTGCCAGGGCAGGTTCGCTTGGGTCTATTGCATCTCTACCTGTTTGGACTGTTCATTTATTTTCTAGGATGAAATAACCGTCACAGTCATCACCACCTTTGTACTGATACTATATCTTTTTCTTGCTTTTGTTTACAGGGGAGCCATGGAAAATAAGAGTTTAAATGTATGGCTAATTCTTCAAAGACTTTAAATACCTACCTCATTTCCTGTTCTTTTTCCCAATTATCCCTCTGAAAATTATATTTTGAGTGCTTCTCAACAGATATTCAATTCAAAGCTTGTCTTGGCATCTCCTGAAACTGCTTCAGATGCAGATTATGCTGCAATTTTAGGAGTTATTGGCCATGAGGTATGTTCTATTGCATTGAGGATTTTTGACTCTTCGATGCTTGCCATTTAGGAATATGATCTTAGATGAATTGAATTCATACTGATTTCTTCCTGTCCTTTATGTTTTTTATTTCTTGCAGTATTTCCATAATTGGACTGGTAACAGGTTTGCTCATATCTTTAATATTCCCTTCTAAGTTACTAAAACTCATTTTTTCTTAAAATATTATTTAATCTAATATTGATTGGTTCCTTTTTTTACCTTTGTTGCTTTGGTCCTGCTTGTTTCATTTTAATGGAGGATAATTTACTGATACTATGAACCGTCCTTTTTTATGAATTTGAATTGAGAATTTTTTTGGATGCCCTCTAGCAAGATTCAGTGTGTGTCTGTATGCATGTACCCATGTACATGAATGAATAGATAAGATTCAGTGTGTGCTTGTATAAGTTAGTAAGTGTGGATAGATAAGTATTTAGTAATGTATTTTCAAATTAAAATGCTCACTTCTGGAAATGACACTATCTTGTTGCATCTGCAATGCTATCCTAAAAATCTAAAACTTGTGGCAGAGTTACATGTCGTGACTGGTTCCAACTCAGCCTAAAGGAAGGTTTGACCGTCTTTCGAGATCAGGTTTGAGACATTTTCTGCTCTAGTTGGTTTTTCTATTAGCCTCTATAAGAAGTGTCATCATATGCACCTGATTCTTTTTGAGATGAGCTTCTGAATCGTGCTGCGTTTGCTAGGAATTTTCATCCGACATGGGTAGCCGTACTGTTAAGCGTATAGCAGATGTTTCAAAGCTCCGCAGCTACCAGTTCCCTCAGGTACTAATGCTTGCTGTCTTTCTAGTAATGATATCTTTATTATGTTCCTTCATTTTATTATATGTTCAGTCATAATTATGTTAACTTGTTTCATGAGTTTGAAGTATTGTTTCCTGCAGAAGGAATGCCTGTTTACATATTTGATTCCTCCATGTTTTATATGGTCTAACTTCCAAATAAATAGAATAATATAAAGGACAGCCCAATGCATGAGGCTCCCACCAATGTGGGGTCTGGGGAGGGACAGATGTACGCAGCCTTACCCCTGCACATACAGAGGGGCTGTTTCCAAGATTTTAACCCTGGTCACCCAGGTCGCAATGGAGCAACCCAACTGTTGCGCCAAGGCCTACCCTCATAAATAGAATTATAGTTAATTTTCCTTTCATGTATTTGTGTTTTGCTACATTAATGATAATCAACTTGCTATATTAATGCTTGCACTTGGTGGTATTCTCCAGGATGCTGGTCCTATGGCTCATCCTGTACGTCCACATTCATATATCAAGGTCAGTGGTCATTGTAACACCCTTTCTCCTAAAGAATAAGTTCTTCCTTTAAAATCCTAGTTTTTCTAACCATCAGCTGTTACATGTAACGAGATATTTTCCTTTTTCTTTGACAGATGGACAATTTCTACACTGGTAAGTCTGTGAAATCTTGATATTAAATCTGGGGATACTGGTTATATGCAGAAGTTTTCATAAGTTGAACCTTTTCTTTTCTTCACTTGTTTGAAAACTATGCCTGATGTTGCACCTTATGATTGATTATGATTCAAATCTGTATGGCGCCTTTATCAACTCTAACCTGCAGTAACGGTATGTCTCACCAACATGATGATATTCCTCTTTTAGATTTAGATTTCTTTTCTATATTCTAACATTATTTCCCTTCATTTCCTCCATATGTAAATGTCTAATGGTATTTTTGTTATTGCTGGTGGCTTCTTGATGCAGGTTTACGAGAAGGTTTGGACTTTGGATAATAAATTTCTTCTTCTTTCTTCTCTGGATTTTGTAAGCTATCTATGGGTTCTATGGATGGTGACTTCTTGTTCTCCTATTTCACAGGGTGCTGAAGTTGTCAGGATGTATAAAACCTTGCTGGGGAGTCATGGGTTCCGTAAAGTAAGATTTACAATCTATGTTTGCCTTTGTTCAAATATTTGGAAAAAGTCATTTTTGTATTTAGGCACCTATTAGTCTTAGTGATCAACCAGGCCAAACCAAAAAGAGGATACAAGGAGCATTGAGCTGGCCAGGTTACTGAGCCTGAAATATAAGCTCTGCTCAACCTGAGCAACCAAGTCTACTTGGCTAAGCCAATATTTGCCTTCCTCCTTGTATGGAGATCCAGTTCTTTAAATAATGTATGTTCTGGTCAGAAAATATGAACAGATTTTCCCTGGGTAAGGTGTGAACCAAGTTAGCATATAATAGAAGAGAGGACTTATGATGTTACTATAATAGACAGTAGTGTTTAAATGATAGAAACATATGACATGTGGGATGTATTCTGTCAGGGCTACAATTTATTTAGCATGTGCTGGATCTCTCTTCTTTGGGCTGGTGCACACACAGGGAGAGAGAGGGGGGGGGTGGGGGTGGGGAGAGGGAGAGAATTTTTATCTGATACTGAATATTTCTCACATTTCAGGGCATGGATCTTTATTTTAAGAGGCATGATGGCCAAGCAGTGACCTGTGAAGACTTTTTTGCTGCAATGTGTGATGCAAATGATGCAAATCTCTCTAATTTCTTATCATGGTATTTCTATTCCCCATCACTTTGTCATGAATGGTTCATCTGTTGATGTTTCTGATGAACTAATAAAAAAAATTCAGGTACTCTCAAGCGGGGACACCCCTTGTCAAAGTTACTTCATCTTATAATGCTGAAGCACGGAGTTATTCTTTGAAATTCAGGTATAAATTTAAAGCTTTCTTGCAAATATATGTACTTTGTACTTTTCCTCACTATACCAGTATAAGTTTTTTTTTTTTTTTAATTTTTTCTTTATGTGGATGGTCTTCTTTACAGTCAAGTGGTGCCACCAACCCGAGGGCAGCCAGTGAAAGAACCAATGTTCATTCCTGTGGCACTAGGTCTTCTTGACTCAAATGGGAAAGATATACCTCTCAGCTCAGTATATCATGACGGGATGCTGAAATCTATAGAAAAAAATGGTGAACCTATATATACTACAGTTCTTCAAGTAAAAAAGGTCAGATTTGATTCTCTAAGTGATCTGTTTATCTCCTTATTATAGTTAATTTGTTTTTCTTCCTGGTGTAAAATAAGTGCTTAGGTTTCCTGGGTTTTGTAAGATCTTGGTTTCAGTTAGGTTGACCTTCTAATCTCTGGAGAGGATGTTGCATATCAACATTCTACTTCTTTTATGATTTTCAATATTTTCAATATTGCTTGTTTCTATGAAATATTTTTTTGGTAGTTAAATAAAAATTCAGGTTTGGTTTAGTCTTGTCCAACATGGATTCATTTCTCTCTCAATGTAATGCCTGCTTCAAGTGGGGATCTTCGTCTCATCGAAAATTTGTAGTGGAATATGTAATAGTGCCATGTTGGCATGATATCTTTTGGGGGATATAAAAGATCATGAGCACATAAGGTGGAGGTGTGAGGTAATGTGCTAAGATCTTGTGATGCATGAGGCATGAACTTTGAGTATGAGGCTCAAATGTCACGGGATCTTATTTGAAGGACTATACAGTATTAAGATCTTTAAAAACAGAACTAATTCTATTCATACAAATCCTTTAGCATTGCTAGAATCTCTTAATGTAAAACAAATGCTTGGTGGGCTTTGTAGATACTAAATATTTAAACAAATCACATGGAAAACTTAAAATTGTCTTTTAGTCCGTTTTATGATGAGATCCCTCCTTTAATCAGTGCATTTTGATTTTGGTAAGCAACAGAGATAAATTTTATGATGACATAAAGGAAGATACCTGCAGCAGAGAACAGTACTGCAGGATAAAAGAAACAGCATTGTTTCTGTCATGTATAATTAGTGCATGAAAAACATGTGCTTGTCATAAGGCATCTCAATCTTTGCGGCATCAAGCTTGAGCCTCAGGTTGTGTTCCTTAAAGCCTTTCTTCAAGGTGAGCCTCAAGTTTCACAGCATTGTTTCTGTCATGTATAATTAGTGCATGAAAAACATGTGCTTGTCATAAGGCATCTCAATCTTTGCGGCATCAAGCTTGAGCCTCAGGTTGTGTTCCTTAAAGCCTTTCTTCAAGGTGAGCCTCAAGTTTCACATGGCTTTTAAAACACTGATTTGATGGGAATGAATGCGATGATTTGACCTATCTCCTTCCATTTGGGCTAATAGGTTTGTTCTTTCTATCTTTCTTCATGTGGTTAGTGCAATTTTATTGTTATAAATCAAACAACAAAATGATAGAATATGGAAAAAATTGCTTCTGTTTTCCAACTGATAAAAATAACTAGATATGTTTGTAGTTTCTTTTATGGTTGTTGAACCTGTGCCTTGTAACTTATCTAGTGATGCAAAATGGAAAATCCCCTATTCTATATGATTAACTTGTATATTGGTATTAAGCAGAAAGAAGAAGAATTTGTATTCTCTGATTTGTCCGAGAGACCAGTACCATCTCTCTTGAGGGGTTTTAGTGCTCCTGTCCGTCTTGACTCGGATCTCACTGACAGTGATCTATTTTTCCTACTTGCTCATGATTCAGATGAGTTCAACCGGTAGGTATTTCCCATATATTATCCCTTTTTCTAGTTTTTGATGGAGAGAGAGGCTGCATTTTCTTTCTTATTTAGTTATTTCTATATAGGAAGGCATCTTATGATTTATAATATATAATTCTTTCATCCAGTTGGGAAGCAGGGCAGGTATTGGCAAGGAAACTGATGCTCAGCTTAGTGGCTGATTACCAGCAAAATAAACCATTGGTTTTGAATCCAAAGTTTGTGCTTGGTATCAAAAGCATACTTTCTGACTCAAGTTTGGATAAAGTAAGAAAAACTATAGCTTTTCTCAGTTTCTGTCAGGATATGGGACATCTCAATGAAATTACAACATAATTTCCTAATCTGTTTTGTTTGCCTTTGCTTTTTCTAGGAATTCATTGCAAAGGCGATAACACTGCCTGGTGAAGGGGAGATCATGGACCTGATGGAGGTTGCAGATCCTGATGCTGTTCATGCTGTTCGATCTTTCATCAGGAAGCAGCTTGCTGCAGAATTAAAAGCAGAGTTTCTCAAAACGGTAGGGATTGATTAGAGTTATAAAAATCTGAGAATTTCCTTTTCTTTTTTGTTCCTTTTCCTTTATCTTAGAATCTCTGCAGGACTTTCGTTTGTAATTCTATACATAACAGGTCCAAAACAATAGAAGCTCGGAGGCCTATGTGTTTAATCATTCTAGTATGGTCAGGCGTGCTCTGAAAAATGTTGCTCTTGGTATGAGTCTCTACGGAGCATAATTTCTACTTATCACTTATACCAAAGCTAACTGCTCTTTTGCTGATTTTTTTTCCTTTTTTTTTTCGTTTTTTCCCTTTTTGCTTTGTGTATAGCTTATCTTGCTTCTCTTGAAGATATGGAATTCACCGAGCTTGCCTTGCACGAGTACAGATCTGCTACAAACATGACAGAACAGTTTGCAGCTCTGGCAGCCATAGCCCAGAATCCTGGTAAAACTCGTGATGATGTTTTGGCTGACTTCTATTCCAAGTGGGAACATGACTATCTGGTGAGTCCCACCCTCATTCCAAAATCACAATAACAAACTGCCTTTATGAGGCCTTTGTTGTTTTTTCTTTCATCTCCTAGTTGTTTGTGTTCGATCAAGGCACTTGCTAATTTAAATTGCCTAAATGACATCTCTAAACAATTTCATTATTAAATAAAAAGAATGAATGGGTATTCCTCAAATAGATTTACTACATGAAAGCAAAACTGATTCAAATTGCTGATACCTTGGTGGTTTTGTAAATAACTAAATATTCTTTAAAGCCCACATGTGGACCTTTATTTCTTAGTTGTCTCAACTTAAAGATGCTACCGATTTCTAGTCTTGGCAAATGGTGGAGAAATAGGTGTGAACATTGGGCCATGCTGGCTCAAGGTCCAGCTTACCCAGCATAATTGCTTGGAGCTAGCATATATAGATGTCATGTATATTTAAACTCAAAAGGAGCCTTGTCCCAATTCCCAATTCAGCACATCCCTTTGTGGCATCTTAAAGACCGAGAGGAAGAAAACTAGAAGGTTTGCTAAAGTAGACTAAATCAGAGTAATACGGCCCCCCAAAGACACGTAATTCCTCTTCCTAGCTGATAACTTCTTGGTACATCTTTCAAGATTTGGACTCTAAAAGCTTCCTTCCTGTGGGTTGGCTCCTAAAGGCATACCTAGATATTTCAACGGTCAACTAGTGGTAGGAAAACCTAAGGCCTATGCAATCCCAACCATCTCCTCCTCCCCAAAGCTCAACCCCACTACATATCTTTTTCTTCAAAACTGATCTTCAATTTAGAAACAAATTCAAACATTTTATCACTTGCTTCAAATTTCTTGCCTTTTGAGGATCAACACTCTCACAAAAAACTATTGTATCACCGGCAAATTACAAATGTGTAACAACCGTGCTCTCTTCCCCAATCTTCCAACCTTTAAAAAGGCCCAAGCTATTAGCTCTTGAGATAAGACTACTGAACACCTCAGCTACCAAGGTAAATAAGAAAGGAGAAAGGGGATCCCCTTGCTTCAACCCTTGGTTGTTAGAAAGAAATCTCTAACCACTCCATTAACTAAGAATGAATAATGACAAATTTTCAAACAACCTTCAATCCAGCTACACCATTCTCTCCAAACCTAAAGTTTCTCAAAGTGTTCAATAGGAAAGACCAATCAACCAAGTCATAGGCTTTCTCCAAGTCCAACTTACACATCAAACCTTTCTCTCCATTTCTTTTAAAATCATCCACACATTCCTTAGCTATCAAGATTTGGTCTATGATCTTTCTTCCTTAAATGAATGTCCCTTGGGGGTGGCTTATTAAGACAGAAAGAACTAGTAATCTTAGAGACAACACTTGGCCAAAATTTTATAAATGCTAGTCACTAGGCTAGTTGGTTTGAAATCTCTTGATTGAATGGCACTTCCCTTCTTAGGAATCAAGGCTAAGAAAGTGGAGTTAATCCCTGGACTAATGAAGTGTTCCTTGGCAAACTCCTCAAAGACTGCCCAAAGGTTTGATTTAATAATCTCCCAACAATCCCAATAAAATCCAAAGTGAATCAAAATCCCTTTCCAATGCTCTTGCCAAATCAGGATTCAGCCAAGGCCATTCCAGTCCTTCTAAAGTAGCTCCCACATCCTCTTGCCTTTTAAAAATTGTTTTGAAGTGAGCCACAAAACAATTAGCAATTTCTTCTTGATCAACCAAAGTTTCTCCATTCACTTCTGATTTCTTCACAAAGTTTTTTCTTCTTCTACTATTAGCAAGTGCATGGAAAAACTTAGTATTACCATTCCCCCTCTTTGGTCCATTGGTGCTTCGATTTCTGCCTCCAACTTATCTTTTTGCTCAGTAAAATTTTGTCCAATTCTTTTTTCAAACACCATCTCAAAGCCTTATCTTCCTCTCTTATCAAACCTTGACTCTCCTTAACATCCAATTGCTCAATTTTAGAAGTTACAAGTAATTTCTTCTCCTCAATTCTTCCAAAATGATCTTTATTTCACTCTTCGGTTTTACACTTAAGCCTTTGTAACTTCCTATGAAACTTTACACCTTTCCACCACACTCCCCTCACCTCTGCTCCCCACCATTCCTTTACCTTATGGATAAGTCAAGGTGTGTAAGCCACATATTTTCAAACCTGAAGGGTTTGGGGCCACTTAGATAATCTTTAGTTCCAATACTAATTGAGCAATGGTCAGAACTAGTTTTGGTAAAGCTCTTGTCACCTAGCCTACCCAATGTTCTTCCCATTCTAGATTGAAAATAAATCTATCCAACTTTGAGCAGGTGGGTGGAATTTTCATGTTGGACCAAGTGAACAAACTCTACTGAGTAAGAATCTCCTTTAGCTTGCACTCCATTATGAACTCATTAAACTTCCTCATGCTAGTAGAGACTACCTGATTGGGATTATTTCTCATTAGTAAACCTAATAACATTAAAGTCTCCACCTAAACACCAGGCCCATTCCACAATCCCCTAATATCAAAAAGCTCCTCCCACATTTCACCTCTCTCTCTATATCTATTGGGACCATAGATGTTTGTCAGCACCCAAGTAAAGCCATCACCCGAATTCTTGAATTTTAGGGAGAGCGAGAATTGACCTATTAATTCTTCCAATGACTCCACAACCTTAGTCCTTCACATTTACTAAGCCTACAGAAGCGCCCCATGATGGTACAAAGGACCAACCTATACCTCTAGAGCCCCAAACGCTTCTCACCAATCTTGTATCCATTTTTGCCACTTTTGTTTCCTGTATCATCACTATATTGGCATTCTCCTTCCTAAGCAGATCCTTTACTACATGCCTCTTCCTAGCATTACCAACCCCCCTAGCATTCCAACTAATTATTTTCATGTCAACTTATATCAAGACCACCCTAACCAACCTTTCCCTCTACTTTTGACCTTTCCTTCTTTCCCCCTTGCACTAACCTCTAAATCCTCTGCTACATCATATTTCAATCTCTTTACCTCAGTCAACTTTTTCTTCCTTTGAGCTTTCTTATCTCCCTTTCCTTTTGGAATAAACTTTGACATCGTTCAACTCTCTTCAAACCCAGATCCCCTACTAGTTCAACCAAAGGTCCCCTCCCTTCTCCCTAAGCTCCAATATTAAGTCCCTCTCCACCTGACTACCCTCCTGTATTTCAGGTTGGCCCAATATTAAGTCCCTTTTGCCTTTAAAATGAAAATTGTTGATACACATATACATGCATACATGCAGAAAGAAAGAAAGTTAGATGCATAAATATACACTTATGGATGCATAGTTACATATATGCATTTTGTTTACACACAAATGCCTACGTACATACATCTATCTATCTATCTATATACATGTTTATATTAGTACTTACATAAATACATGTTTATATAATATCTATACATACAAATACGAAGTTAAGTTGGGTTGGCCAAGGCCTGAACCCTAACCCGGCCCAAAGTTAAGTTGGGTTAATACTTTTCAACTCTAACCCTTACTTGAACTTCAACCTAACCCAACCCAACCTGACTTTTTTGGGCTAGCTTTGGGACCCAACCCAAGTTGTAGCCCTAAGGATATCGCAGCTGAAGGAACAACAGGTGGTATGGTGATTGTTTGGGATCCAAGTTGTTTAACTACTCAAGGAGTTGAGAAAGGGGCAATTTTCAATCTTGATTCAGTTTCAATTGGTGGAGGATTAATTAAATTGGGTGATGAAAGGAATTTATGAGCCACATGAAAGTAGCAGGAGAGTATATTTCTGGGAAGAGCTGAATGGGATTAGGGAGAGCTGGGAGCTTCCATGGGCTATTGAGGGAGGATTTTAATATAGTTAGATTCACACATGAGAAGAGGGTTGTAACAGAAGCTGTGGGTGTATGAGAGGGTTCTCATAAGTCATCAGAAGATGGGAGATGGTGAGTTTACCATTAACGGGTGCTTGATACACCTGGACAAATAATCAAGAAGACCCAGTCTTGGAAAAATTGGATAGGTTTATAGTGTCATTGGATTGGGAGGAAAGTTTTCCAAATATGTCTCAAGAAGCTTTGCCTTGACCATTATCAGACCACTCACTAATTTTATTGGATTGTAGAGGAATACTAATGATTTAAAACCCTCCATTTAGGTTTGAACACATGTGGTTGGAAGAATAGGGTTTAATGGAGCAGATGAAGAGATGGTGGAAAAATGTCATGTAGGAGGGTCTACTAGTCATGTGTTTAGTCAGAAATTAATTCTTATGGTCAGAACTGAAGAGGTGGAGCAAACTGACCTTTGGAGGAGGGAACCAAAAAGGAATGAACATTTGGAAACGATAGGGAATGTGGATAGAGCCGAAGAAGGGAAATTTCAAATGAGGAGAAACAAAAAAGAACCAAGACAAAGATGGAGCTTGACAAGTTTTGTTATCAAGAAGAAATCAAGTGTGGGCAGAGGTCAAGGTGCTTGTGGTTGAAACAGGGAGATAGAAATACATCCTTCTTTCATAGAATGGATAATGGGTGAAGAAGACAAAACCATAATAAAAGATTGGAGGAAGATGGGGAGGTGATTAGGGGTGCAAATGGATCGGATCATGATCCGGTCCAATCCGAGATCCAATCCTATTTGGTCGAATTCGGATCACCCCTGTTCGGATCTTCGGATCGGATTGGATAATATGATCCGATCAGAAATCAGATTAGATTTGGATCACCCCCTATCTGATCCGAGAAGATCCGATCTGATGTATATTATATATTTATAAATATAAATAATATATAATACATATATATGTTATTTATTTATTTATAAATATATTTTTTATATTACATTTTTATAAATTTGTTATATTATTCATTTTTTTATTAAAGAAAACAAGTAGGATCGGATCAGATCCGAATATCCAACTTACCAATAGGATTCAAATTCAAATCGAGTCCTATCAGATCTGATCGGATCGGATTGGATCTGACATGAACAATGTCGGATTGGATTTGAATATACCCCAATTCGAATCCGGTCCGAT